GTATTGATGGATGCTGGAAAGTCACAGGTGGAGGGGCTGCAACAAGCAGAGATCAAAGAGCAAAGAATGACTCGTGCAGCACATAGACGTAAGGAAAAGGAACAACAGAAGAAAGAAGTTAAAGAAGTTCTTCAAGAATTTGCTTCGGTGCCCGTGGGAGGAGCAAGACCCAAGAGTTCTGCAGCATATTCCTCAATGGCAGATCTTCAAGCAGTCTTCTCCAGGCTTTTTGTTAAGGGAGATGGTAAAGCTCCTGACATGGAATGCTAATGGTCTCAATTCCCCTCAAAAGAGAAAGAAAATTTTTCATTATTTAAAGCAACATAATAATGATATTATTTGTTTGCAGGAAACACATATTATATCCAAAGACCAAAAATATTTAGTTAACGCTTGTCTGGGATCTCATTTTGTATCTTTTGCTCCTGGGAAAAAAGGGGGAGTAGTTATTTACGTTAAGCAAAATTTATCAGCCTGTTTGGTAGAATCTGATCCCCAGGGGAGATATGTCATGATTGAAGTTGGTTTGTATGGTAAGAAAGTACTTATAGTGGGACTGTATGCACCAAATCAACAACAGGAACAATTTTACAGACTGTTACATCAAAAATTAATTTTGTTGGATTATAGATCTGTTATATTTATGGGAGATTGGAATGGTGTTTTAGATACACAAAGAGATAAAAAGGATCCTCCATTTCTTTTAAACAGGCTAAATTACCTAAAGCTTTTTTTGATTTGAAAGAGGACTGGGAGTTGCGAGATTATTGGCGTGAACATAACCTGGAGGAGAGAGACTTCACCTTCTTTTCGGATAGACATCAATCTTTTTCAAGAATTGACTTTTTTTTTATTACAACGGATTTATATTTTAGGGTAAAGAAGGTCAAAATTTTTCCCAGGATATTGACGGATCATAGTCCAGTTTGGATGGAATTGGTTGATGAAAAAGAGGAGAGGAGATCGTGGAGGATGAATGAAAATTTATTTAGACAAGAAAAGAACGTTCAAAAATTAAAGGAGCAATTAAAGGATTATTTTGCTTTAAATATGTATAAGGGAACTTCAATGTCAATGGTCTGGGATGCAGGTAAAGCCTACATGCGGGGGATTTTGATACAAATGAATAAGGTTCATAGACAGAAGCAGATGCAGAAATGTAAGGAGTTAGAAGAGGAGATTAAACTAAAAAAAAAAGCTTTGATTTTAAATTCTACAGATGAGAAGATTAAGGAATCTATAAAATTGCTTAAGTCACAATTTAATATATTGATGGCTGATCAAACTGCAACTAATTTACTGTATATGAAACAAAATACATTTTGTAATGCCAATAAACCAGGGAGATGGTTGGCTTACCAACTGAGAAAGAAGCAGAGACAGAGAACTATAAAGTAAATTATAATGGTAAATTGGTATATCAGAAGGAGTTGATTAAGAAATCTTTTTTAGATTACTACCAAAAATTATATATGAGTACTAAAGTACAGGTTTTAGATATAGATAATTATTTAAATGAAGCTAATTTTCCTAAATTAACAGAAGATCAGAAACAAGAAATTAATGGTTTGATTACTAGTGAGGAAATTGAGACAGTAATTAAAGAATTAAAATTAGGTAAAGCACCGGGTACGGATGGTTTGACATCTATTTATTATAAAACCTTGGTACAAGAGATGATTCAACCTTTAAGTGAGCTTTTTAATAATATATTACAGGGTTCAGAGATTCCCCCGTCATGGAGCAGAGCTTTTATATCTTTGATTCCAAAAGAAGATCAAGATCTTACTTTACCAAAGAATTATAGACCTATATCTCTTTTAAATGTAGACTACAAGATTTTTTCAAAAATTTTAGCTAACAGGCTTATGAGGGTTTTGTATCATGTAATACACACGGACTAAACGGGTTTTATAACTGGAAGGTACATGAAGAATAATGTTAGACAAATTATTAACTTATTAGAATATTTAGATAAAAACAATCAAGTTTCTGCAGGTCTGATATTTCTAGATGCTGAAAAAGCTTTTGACCAGCTGAATTGGCAATTTATGTTAAGATTAATTGAGAAAATGAACTTTGGAGAAAAAATTCTACAAGCTCTTGGTGTTATTTATCAAAAGCAAATGGCACAACTTATAGTTAATGGGGGTTTGTCAGAGGTGTTTATAATAGAGAAGGGGACTAGACAGGGTTGTCCATTGTCACCATTGCTGTTTGTTTTAACTTTGGAAATTTTGCTGATTAAAATTCGAGAATCACAGCAAATAAAAGGAATAGAAGTTAATAAAAAAGAATACAAATTAAGGGCTTTCGCAGATGATCTGGTTGTTACTTTATCTCAACCTACTTATTCTGTAATAGAGTTATTACAATTGATATATCAGTATGGATAGGTTTCGGGTTTTAAAATTAACAACAATAAGACTAAAATATTGCCCAAAAATATGACTAAGTTGGATAAGGAGATTTTGGTTAAGTTGACAGATTTTGAGGTTGTCAATAAGGTAAAATATTTGGGGGTTATTTTATCTGGTTCTAATGCAAAATTGTACAAAATAATTATGAAAGGCTGTGGGTCAAAATACAAAGAGATTTGGAAAATTGGGAGAAGTTGCAATTATCTCTTTTGGGAAGAATTGCGGCGATTAAAATGAATGTTTTGCCAAAGTTTCTTTTTTTATTTCAAATGATACCTATTTTAAAGAATGAGGTTAATTTAAATAAATGGCAGAAAGGTATCAATAAATTTATCTGGGCGGGGAAAAAACCAAGAGTAAAACTTAAAATTATACAAGATATTCGTGAGAGAGGTGGACTCAAGGTACCGAATTTGAAATTGTATTATGATGCTGTGGTTTTAACATTAATCAGTGATTGGGTTAACTTAACAAATGTAGAAATACTCCTCTTGGAGGGTTGGGATTTAATTTTTGGATGGCATGCCTATTTAATTTTTAATAAAAAAGTTGATAGGGTTTTTAAATCTCATATTATAAGGATTTCTTTACTTCGGGTTTGGAAGAAATATTACAGAAGTGATTTTAAAATTCCATTATGGACTATACCGGGGCATGTGATAGAAGGGATAAGGAGAGGAGTCAAGATGGATAGTGTTTCTTATGTACAATTACTTAGATGGAATGGTAAAAATTGGCAATTAAAATCTTTGGAAGATCTAACACAAGAAAATATTAGTTATTCATGGTTTTATTATAGACAAATAGTGGAGAGGTGGAAGATAGATTGTAAGGTGGGTTTGCTTAGAGAAGATGAGAACTTATTAAAACAAATAAAAGATCAAAGACGAACTCATATTAAGAGAATTTATGGGGTGTTAGTAGAACTGGATTCAGAAGCAGAATTAGTTAAAGAATGCATGGTTAAATGGGCACAAAATTTTGATGAACCGGTTCCATTAGATATCTGGGAAATTATTTGGGTGAGGAATGTTAAATTTACACAAGCCCAAAATTTAAGGGAAAATTTTTACAAAATGTTTTACAGATGGCACCTTGATCCACAAAAAATGTCTCGTATGTATCCTGACTTACAGCCTAAATGTTGGAGATGTGGAAGTTTGGATGCTACTTATTATCACATCTAGTGGTCATGTAAAAATATAAAAGCTTTCTGGATTAAGATATGGTGGAATATCCAAAGAATTTTTAGAAGAAGGGTAAAATTTACCCCACAATTGTTTTTGTTAGGTATTGTTTCTGATTGTGACACTAAAGAGACTATATTGATGTTAAATTTAATCACAGCGGCAAGGTTGTTAGTAGGGCAATGTTGGAAGAAGGAATCTTTGCCTACTTTGCAAGAGTGGTTTTTTAAAGTTTCTTATTTGGCGGAAATGGCAAAGATTTCGGCTTTCTTGAAAGATCAATTGCAAGAGAAGTATTTTCTGGTATGGAAAAAATGGATAGACTTTATACAATATAAGTTGGACATAAAAAAATATTATTTAGTTTTTCAATAACTTATACTTAAAGTTTAAGATATTTTATAAATTTTCTTTTTTTTAATTTTTTTTCTTTTTTTCATTTTTTTTACTATTTCTTTGTTTTTCTTTCTTCCTTTCTTGTATTTATATATATATATATATATATATATATATATATATATATATATTATTGTTAACTATTTTACAATTTGTTTAATTAATGTATCTAGATTTGCTTATGGTTAATATTTGTTTTAAGACTTTTTGAAAATTTTTTAATTAAGCCTGTATTCAGCTCTGGGAAGGTCGGGGGAGGGCATGGGAGGGTTGGGGGGGTTTGGGGAAGGGAATTGTATTTTTTTGTAAAATTTAAAAATTTTCAATTAAAAAAAAAAAGACTGTATATTTCAGTGTTGAATCACACTGGGGATCTTAAAGACTCTGTTATGTCCTGGGCCTGTGATTAACAGAGCAGGTGCAGGAAGCTGCAGAGAGACCTGGGCAGACCACGTGGCTGCCCGGGCCAGACAGGCTGTCGCCAGCCTATTGCGCACACGCAAAGCGGGAAAATACGTTGCATTTATTGACTGACGCTGTTCCCTGCAAAAGGGTATAAAAGGGATCAACGCCATTTTTGTGTTGTTCTGTTGAAGATTGAATAAAGAAGCAACTGTTGTTACTCCTGCCTCGTCTCAATGCCTTACCAATGCACAGAACAGAACACTCTCCTTCATAAGTTTCCATCAGTTGCTTCTTGTCCTGCCTTCAGGTGCTTTGGAAAATAGGTTGACCCCCCTCTTCTTTATGGCTACCCCTTAGATATTGAAAGACTGCTATCATTGTCACCCCTCGCCCTTCTCTTCATTATCCAGTTCCTGCAACCTTTCTTCATATGTTTTAGTCTCCGGTTTCCTAATCAGATAATAACAACTGCATAATAATAATCAGATAATAAGATCTTCAGGGTGTCTACAAAGCCCACTCCCATCTCCATTTTAGTATTTCCAAGCTCACACCTATATTATGAGTAGGAAAGAAAATGATTCTTCACAAATGACATTTAAATTATTTCTTTAATGAAATACCACATCAAATTATATAGAATATCTGAATAGGAAAGCACGGTGTGGATTTTGTATGCACATCAAGAGGGATGTTGCAAAGACTCTGCAGCATGATTTCATCTTGTTCTTTAAAAGCTGGGATACTGTATTTTAATACTATTTTGCTAAGGATGACCTAAATAGATTCACTTTTTCTATGAGTCAAAATACAGTTTCTTGAAACATGGATACTGTTCTTCATATTAGAACTGATGTTACAAATCTACAGAGATCATGAGAATAATCACAATATTTGTTTACAGAGCATTTAATAGAAAAAAATAACACTTGACTTTATGGTACATTAGGACTTATTCATGCATTTTTCTTTGTTATGTTGGAGTGTGTGTATGTGCTTGTTCCTAAACACTAATAAAATATGAATTGATCTGAGATATCATGAAAACAGAGTTGGAAAGATCTTGTAGATCATGAGGTCCAACCTTCTGCTGAGTTCAGGAGATCCAGAGCTACAGCTCCTTAAATGTTGGGCTTACATCTGCTTGAAAATCTCCAATAAAGGAGAAGCTACTGTCTGTCTCCATAATTGATTTAATTATGAACTGCTTTTACCACTGAGGCATTTATCTTGATTTTTAAGCAACTTACGGAGAACTTGTAGAATTATTTTTGAGGATTTGTTCTCTGCTTTCTTTCAACATAGCTAATCCTGAGTTTGTACTGGCACAGCAGATTAAGCTGAAATCGTTCTTGTCTTTAACTCAATACAATGCACTTAAATGAAAGTCACATGGAATACTTATTATAAATTAACATCTGATTCCATTCTTCCCATCAGTTAAAACTGAGGTAAACTTGAATAACAAAATTTCACTTAGATTTGCATGTGGATAATTTATTCTAGCAGTAAATTGCCATCAAGAGTCTGCTCTCCAGAGATTTGATCCTCAGAAGAAGCAATGGCAAAAAAAGCAGCTTATATGCAAATATGGTCTAAGGATTGTTTCAAGAAAGTAAGACAATGTTGGAAAACTTGTGGTTCTCCAGTCAGGATAAACAACCATTCCCACAGGCCCAGCCAACATGGCAGAGAATCAAGAATGCTGCAATTGTCATAGAGCCTCTGGTTTATGCAAAGGCTACCTTGGAATAGACTGAATGGACATCAGCTAGTCATGCCAACTAGCTAGTCTTCCATTTATTTTCATGTAACTTTTGAAATAACAACACATGCACATAGTCACTGCATCAAGATCCTATGAACACTGATTATGTTGAATGTGCATTGGGGAAACAGACAGGAAATAGGCTTCTGATACTGTTTTGTTCCCATATTTGTTTAATATAATATTTGTGCACTGTGGCAGTATTATATACAGTATGTATCACTTAATCTTGGCTTATTGAATATGTCATCATAGGCTGGGGGTGATGGCTTAGCACAGCAGTGGTGAACCTATGGCACACATGTCAGAGGTGGCACTGAGAGCCCTCTCTGTGGGCACACGTACCGTTGCCCCAGCCCTACCTTCTCTCATGGCCCCCTCCTCACCAGCAGCCCCCCTGGAGAATTGCCCCTGGGCACGGTCCATGCAAAGCAGCGCAACCAAGGACAAGGTAGCCAGGCAGCGGGGGCAAGACTCCGCCCTTGTGCCCCGTCGTGCACAGATGCTGCTGCGGGGCACAGGCAGAGGGCGTGGCCACCATGGCGCTGCTGGATTGCCTGGGTGATCTGTGACGGGCCATGGAGATGGTGGGTGGCCCAGCGGGCAGGGCGGAGCAGAGAAAGGGATAGGGGTTGGGTTTGGGGCACTCGGTCTCTAAAAGGTTCACCATCACTGGCTTAGCATATTGTGGGAATCAAATCATTGTGACTTAGGAAACCATGATTAAGTAAACCATGCCTTAGTGTGATGTGTACATTTAACAACACTATCATCATTATTGTCAGGCCTTGGTTTTTCTAGGCATAACCAAACAGCTCACCAGTTATGAGGATTTTAGAGTTCAGAGAAGTTATTTGAGATTATTTGACAAATGGCAATTAAAATTCAAGGCTGCACAGCAACTGATTAGTCTCTTGGGGAAAAAAACCAAACTCTTTGCACAGATGTATTTATTTAAACACTATTGTCAGAATGGCATTTGGTTCTTACGGGACATGTTTAGCTCTGAGGAGTCAGATGTAATAGGAGAACTATTCATTAGAGCAAACAATAGCTAATTGCACATTTCAAATGGCAACTCCTTTAAGGACATTTTTATGGTCCATTGGAAACGGATATTTGTGACAGGAGACAGGCACATGAATAAACATTTCTTACCACTTATCTGGCCAAGGAGCACAGAAACATTTCATTGATGGTGCAAAAGTGACATGAAACGTTACACAACATTTTGCTTTCCCATGTGAAAGACGTTTTTGTGTAGATCACATTTCAGTCTGGAAGCCACTGCTTTGAAATGTTGATACCAGCAGTGTTTGTGCCTGCAAACTCATTGCCAGAATGCTTGCATGGTTTTCTGGGACAGGGAAGTCACCTCTAGAAAATGTATCTGGCAGGTATATTTTCTGGCTTGAAAGATTCAGAACAACCAACTGAGATGGCAAATACTTCTTGTAAATACGTGCTTCCACTTAGAATGGCATTGAAGAAAATATGGAACATTTGGAAAGTATGCCTCACTATGTTATGAGATGGCAATGGCAGACAGCAAAAGTACTGTATACTGTGGATGCTCGGTTCACCCCACAGGGGTTACCAACCACTCAAGCAAAGTGCGACTTCTGAAAGCACCTAAATGCTGCAGAATAACTGGAACTGGTAAGACATCCTCCATCTTGTTTTCATGGATTTCCTCTGCCACCTTTTCCTAAGTCCCGTCAGGAGAAGGTTCTATTCTCTGCAAGCAATGAGATTACAACATTATAAGAACTAATGAAACATAGCACGCACAATAAATGCACCATTTCTTTGAATGGAAACCTCCATTCTGTGAAGTAACGCATATTCACCACTGATGGCCTTATCCTTTAGCACCAGGGGTTTCCAAACTTGGCAACTTTAAGACTTGTGGACTTCAACTCCCAGAATTCCATGCTCTAGCATACTATGTCTTAATATTGCATATATCACAAGCTAGGTTCTTGGTATATGAAGAAGTTTAGCCTTTTTGTATCATATGTCCTCAGCTTCTACACGTTGGCTTTATACGTTGATCGAGTGTTTGACAGAAAGAAAAACTTGTCTCTAGATTTTCTCCACATCATGCAAGTTTTTAGAAATCACTACCATGTCCCATCCTCTCAGATATTTGTTTTCTATTATAAAAATCCCCAGCTTTACTCATAGTGTAAGTTCAAGTGTAAAGTAAAGAAGTGCACTTTGATTATATACCTATGATTTATATGGCCACCCATCTTGCTGCGGCACCACATAACACCACATAAAAACACAGTATCAAATAAGCATCAGTAAACAACAGTGTATAAAGACAATAATGGCAATTGAGGGCAAAACCCAATCAACAACAAAATGGCAAGATTTCAAGGGCACCAACTAGCCTCCCAACCCCCATGTCTGGGAATATATTAATTTTTTAAAAACTTTGTGAAAAATTGGATGATCTGGGCCAGTCTAATTGTGGAGAGAATATTGTTGCAAAGGCCAGATCCTGCAACAGAAAAGATCTGCTTTCTGACTCTTGCTCGATAATCAACAGTACCGCAAGTATGCCTCTCCTGTCAAGCAACAGAATGGGTAGAAACAATCAAAAAAAGATAGTCCTACATGTTACTCCAGATTTTTGATTCTAGTTACCACTTTCTACATTTTTACATCTCTACAATAATTTTTTGAGGTTTAATTAGGAGATCAGTACATCATATTTTAAGTGGGACTGTATTCTAGATTGCATAAAGAGTCATTTACTGAGACAGGTGGCTATAGAAATCAAACGCATAAATAAAAAAGCATTACAATGCTGACAGTTTTTATTTTATTTTCTTAATGGCCTCTAGTACAAAATTGCCCTTTTCACCAAACAACTGAACAACTGTACAGTCAGTGTTTTTACTGAGCATCCTATCCAGATCTTTTTTCTAATTAGTCATTGCTAACTCAAAGTTTGTCAGAGCAAAGATCAGTGGTGGCGAACCTATGGCACAGGTGCCAGGGGCGGCACTCAGAGCCCTCTCTGTGGGCACGCACACCGTCACCCCAATCCTAGGCCTTCAGCTGGGTTTTATAAACCCTTTTTGCTTTAGGCCTCCACCGCCATGTGCAAAAAAAAAAAAGGTTCAATCAATCAGTCAATTTGAACTTCTTGCGGGGAAAAAAATATCTTGCAAAGTTGGAATTGATTGATTGAACTTTTTAGTCCCACCCAGTCTGCCGTTACTACCACAGCCACGCCCAGCCAATGGGCCACACCCAGCCAATGGGCCACACCCACCCGGTACCCAACGATGTATAAGTGGGTTTTGGGTTGCAGTTTGGGCACTCGGTCTCTAAAACGTTCGCCATCACTGGCATAGATGTTTACTTCCGATACGCAGGATGCTATATTTTTTAAAATTCAATTGTATTAGCCATTTTAATACAAAACAATACTCCAATCTGAAGAGACCTTTCTGGGGTACTAAATGTCTTTTAACCATCCTGAGACATCTTATATTGTTAATAAATTAGTTCTCCAACATCTCTGAATTTGACTAATTATAAACAATTTCAAAGCACCAATCCAATGCTGGAATACCTGTTCTGGACGTTTTATTTTATTTTACTTTAACTTTCTCTTTCATCAACTACTCATCGATCCAAAAGAGCACCTCCCCTTTTATCTCACAATCACTAAATTTGTTGAGGAGTCAATGGTGTCACGAAGATTTGAAAGTTCAAATACAATAATAATGTCTATAGATCATATCCATCTACACAATTACTTTCAAATCCCCTTGTTGTGCTGTGTGGATATGCCCCAATACTTCCATGTAGGTAGCTTTTCAATTTCATTTTAATACTTTTTCTACACATGCTACCATCTATTTTCAGATTCTCATTGTCAGCACACATTCATAGCCAAATGAACAGATATTTACCTGGGAGTAACATCATTTGTCATTTTAGGGATTGTTACTTTGTAATAGAGAAAGAAACTTGTACATTCCAACAGCACTATGAGTTGCGTCATTAAGAGTATATAAATACGGATTTATAAGATATATATCCAATTACTATCCTAGAATTTTAATTTTGGGTGTTTGGGTATTTCCTAAGTATCTCACATTACCATTTTTAACATTTTCTTTGAAATGGACAATATAAAGTAAGTTTACATCTTCTCATTTTGCCATTTAAAACATATTATATATTGTAAGTACTAAGAGCTCAATAAAACAAACAAAGAAGATATCTACACAAGAAGGTAAAAAGAGTGAAGGAGCATCGTCTATGAAATCAAGCTGTATTTCTGAGGCAAACCAAACAATACCAAATTAGTATTTTACGAAGTAGCTCCCTTATTGTTAAGATATTTCCTTTTAATATGTTTTCAGAAAGTGGTGGTAATATTAAACAGTACAGAAAGATTGCCAGTTCTGATTCCAGGAAGGAAACCCACACCCAGTTCCTTTCTGAGTAACTCAAAATTTGCCCATGAAACTTTCTATTCTAGCTTGGGATAGTTTACATTATGAGTAGCATGCCTCAGGAAGAAACTCAATCATCCAGGATTCTGAAATGGATAATGGCAAAGAATAGTTCTGTGAACTTCTGTCTTATGTCCACTGAAAAGTAGGATGACATCTCTTAATATAACTCCCAATACCTACATAGTTCACATTTGCTTCGAGTTTCATTATACTTTGAAACTCTCCTAGTTTAGTTTGATTTCAAATAACAAAAATAACGGAAATTTAACAGGGAGTACAAATTATATGAATGGCTATTGACCAGCGATGCTGATTTTAGTACATTTCAGAGCATCTTCTAAACAGGTTACTTTAACTCGTATAAATTGCAACATTTGTGTGTAGCCAGTTTTAACTACACAATTAATTTTATTTTGCATAAATCTCAAATGAACAAAAACTCTGCTGGGAATTGGTAAGGATGCAGTGAAGGAATTGTATGCATCCATTTCAGTACTCATAAATACCAGATGGATAGTGATGTTAGTTTGTTGCTGCTAACATCTTAAGGGATTAAACCAGCCATGTTATAAATTCTTATTAATTATAATCCACTTCATCAGGTGTACATGAAACCTACAATGTTTAAGCCACTTCCTTGCTTCTGATGAGGAAAGGCATGTTTCATATTTGCAAGTCGAGGAAGCACTAGCCAATGAGGCTTGCCCTCTCAGGATGGTACTAAATATCTCTAGAGAATTGATTGGTTGACAGAGAACCAATCAGAACTTGCTTGCTAGTCAATAATTATAAGCCTTATTCTGTCTTCTCAGGTATGGGTCTAAACTAGGGGTAGGCAACCTTGGCTCTTTTATGATTCGTGGACTTCAACTCCCAGAATTCCTGAGCCAGCCGTGCTGAGGGGAAAGGGAGAGATTTCCAAGCTGAGCCATGCTGGCTCAGGAATTCTGGGAGTTGAAGTCCACGAGTCATAAAAGAGCCAAGGTTGCCTACCCCTGGTCTAAACTCACATAACTCTTCCTGATCTTAAAAAAAAAGAAAGAAAAAGAAATGTATCTTTTTTCAGTGTTTCTATACACACTATGGTGACAAAGCTCTTTCAAACTCACAGTGACTCATCAGCAATTCTGCACTCTGCCTCCTTTTTCCATACATGCAAGCAGACTGTTGTAATAGGTTCACATCAAGTTGAAAGGTGAAGCAAGCTGAAAAGGCATCATGAACAAGCCCCAAACAGCAAGATTCCTAATATGCATTCACGGCATGGAAACATCTTCCCATCTAATACAGGGATATAGTGAAATTGCTTACAACTGCACCCTTCCAGTTACAGTAATTGTGGGATCTGCCCAGCACTCATCTCACACAAGTACCTGCCTTGTTCCTTTGTTGGAAATACCTCGAGAGAGTTTAACAGGTCACAGGAGTTATATGACCATTCTCAAGAAGGTTACTGTGTGATGAACAAAGTTGTTCAGATGATCAACTGAATCTTGAATTTTGAAGAAAGGATCCTGAGGCAGAAAGTTTTAGATAAAAGGGCAGGCTTGAGTTTAGATTATCTTTTTCAGGAAAGGAGACTCTAGAGCAGTTGAGTGCATGACTGAATTTGTGCTTAGGAAGTATTCACAATGTTCGATCTAAATATATGCTGGCCTGAGTTCAGAGATTACAGGATGCTGAAAGAGGGGAGAGATGTTTGCAAATTCTTCTGTTCCCATGAAAAATTGCTCTGGAGGGTTGAAGGACCCTCTGGAATAGTTCAGAAAGGGACACCAAGAGCTCCAGGACAAGAGGATAAATTAAAATCATCTTATTTTCCAGTGGAAGCTAGTTCCTGATCCCTCAGGGTTCTTTCTCATGGCCACATCTTTGTGCTTTCCTCCCTGTCCTTGAATTGGAAAATGTATTAACATTAATAGCACTGACCCCACAGCCTATCATTACAGCACATCCGCTTTGAGGCCAGGCAGTGTTTCTACTGCAATACAATGTAATCCTAGTCCAGTGGTTCTCAACTTGTGGGTCGGGACCCCATTTGGGGTCGAACGACCATTTCACGGGGGTCGCCAAACAACGCAGTCCGCCATTTTTCCCCCCTTTTCCTTAGCTGTGCTACTCCTTTTTATTCTATTGGCTTTTGAAAGCCAATAGAATAGACTCTCTTGAATAGAGTCTAATTCTAATGGCTTTCAAAAGCCAATAGGAATTGTCCAGGCTGTCTCTGCCCTGCTGAGCCCGCCAAAAGTCCCATTCTGCAAACGGTGCTGCACCAGTTGAGTAGTCCTCGACTTAGGACCGGTTGAGTAATCCTCAACTTACGACCGGTTGGGGGTCGCGGCATTAAAAAGGTTGAGAACCACTGTCCTAAACAGTTTCAGAGAAGTGACTGTAAATTCCCTGATGCCCTTTCCTTTCCCATTCAGTGCCATCTACACTGGGAAGTCCAACCGCCAACTCTCTGTGAACATGCAACATAGGAATAGAATACAGAATAATAAAATTGGAAGGGACTTTGGAAGTCCTCTAGTCCAACTCACTGCTCAAGCAGGAGACCCTATGCCATTCTGGACAAATAGCTGTCCAATCTTTTCTTAAGAATCTCCAGTGATTCTTAAGTTCCACTAATACATTGTTTTCACTCTCAGGAAATTTCTCCTTACTTCTCAGTTGGATCTCTCCTTGATAAGTTCCCATCCATTGCTTCTTGTACTGCCTTCAGGTGCTTTGGAAAATAGATTGACTCCCTCCTCTCTGTGACTGCCCCTCATAAATTGGAAGACTGCTATCATGTCAATCCTTAGTCCTTTTCTTCATTAGACTACTAGACATATTGAGTTCCTGCAACTGTTCATCATTCTTTCTAAAGTCTCAATATCTTTTTTTGGTATGTGCATTTAGTTAGCCTTATTTTTTATTATTATTTATTGCAGAGGTGTCAAACTCAATTTCACTGCATCAGCATTGAGGGCTGCATCAGGGGGCCGGGTGGGTGTGGCCAGGGTGGTGCAGCCTACTGGGTGGGTGTGGATGGAGTGGGTGTGGCCTATTGGGTGGGTGTGGCCAGCTCTACATCGTTCGCGTCACAGGTGCCTGTGGGGGCCTGGGCAGGAGTGGGACAGATCTGAGGGTCTCTGGCAGAAGGGGGTGGGACCAGGACAAGTGCCGAGGCATGGTCCACTGGATGAGCCTCACTGTTCCTCTCAGTACATGCAGGAGGGGGAGGGGCTTATGGAGCTAAGGCTGAATGCGTTTCAGCATAGATGGCCACTACAAAATTGTACATTGGCTCCCGGTCGGCCTGGGCCAGGGCCAAGGCAGCGGGGGCCGTTCCCTCACTGTTTTCAGGATGGCTTCGTGGACCACATGAAATCACTTCATGGGCCACATCCGGCCCCCGGGCCTCGTGTTTGACATGTCTAATTTATTGCATGTTTCTTCTAACAGGTTTATCAAACGTATTTTAGAGTTCGGAAATATTTTTTTCTGAGACATGTGTCAACGCTGCTAATATTGAATATTCTTGCTTTGACAAAATATGCAGAACTGTCTGGTATTTTTAGAGTTAATGCAGAGGAGAAAGAGGGAGGAGGGAAAAGCCCACGAATGGGAAAGGAAGGGAACTTTTGCCCTTCAAACTAATTGGAGAACGTAAATCATGACACCAAATAAGGGAGGGGAATGCTAGCAAAAATAACGGCTGGGTGGATGGGAATTTCAGATCTTAGCATTCCCTTTCATCATGCCTGTGCCTACATTTTGTCACATAAATAAAAAGACTTTTTTAGGATAAAATGCCTGGAAGTTCTTTGAAGTGTTTCATTAGTCGGAACCATGACAACATGCTTGTTTCCACCACAGACAAAGATATAGCAGCAATGTGGCATTAGCAGAGACATCCTCAGGATAGCCAGGATTAACAGGGTATACAATATACATACAAGCTAGGTATTAGTTAACCTGTATGCTCCTAATCCAGGGCAATCTATTCCTTGAATCTATTTCAAGCATTAAATTTATAACATCTCTTTCTGTTTATTTATGATATACAGCCAACACATTCAGAATACACTTAATGAAGTGCAACAGACTCTAAAAGATATTTATGAATCAAATCCAGACAACCTGGCTTTTGTTTTGACAACTGAAATATTAACCAAATCTCCAAATATGCACCAGTCAAAGGAAAAATATACTTACAGAATGTCTGTTCTCCTCAGCATCTGAAAATCATAAGATATAGATTAAAAATTACCACTCCCAAGTGTATCACGTTAGTAGACAAATGTACATTCAAGCGCTCTAAGATTTTCCTTTCATTTACATCAATTTCAGAAATCAAGAAAAAATTGGTCAAGGCATTCTGATTTGATGATTATTTATATTCCTTTTTCTGCAATCCCTGCATAAACCTGAACAATTTACCCATTGAACAAAGTAGGATTTACTTTCAAATCAATATCCGTGAGGCTAAAAAAGCAAAATATATTAGAGTAATTCATAAGCATGCCCAGTTTGTTTTATCTGCAGAGCAAACGAAAAACGAAATAGCCCCCAAACTGGTGGATTTTTCAAGGACAACCCTTAAGCAACAGTTTTCCTGCTACCTCCCTTTAGCATTAATTCTAATGGCCATACTTGAGAAATGCTAATTAATATAATTTGTCACAAGAGGCATATGACAGATTCAATGCATGAATTAGATGTGATGCTTATGATGATATAAGTCCTCAGGGGACCAGAGAAGTACACTTTAATAATGTGAAACAATGTGGAAAAACATTCTGAGGAAAGCAAGCAATATCCAACCAGAGAGTCTGTCTTTATCTCTAAAACTAAAAACGCTAACCCACGCCATGCAGTCCTGTTCCTTCCCACAAGGCTTATGTCCATTATTTACACAAAACTGACTCACTGGAAATTTCCCTACTTCTCTGTGTCATAATCACATTGAACGGCTAAAATCTGTTGAAAGAATATTTAGTGTTCTCATGATCAGGCCAAGAAAGACAAATGGGGTTATTTCTGAGTATATTCCTTTATTGTTCCTCACCTATGGATAGAAATCTTGCCAGAAAGCAGCTATGTGACCACAATAGATACACTCTGGAAATCACTAGGGAGGACCTGTTTTAACTCTCTTCCTCCCAACCAAACTTTCCATGCATCCCTGCCTCTTTTCCCTCTGGAATGCAGCCCCTCCTTCCTGGGAATCCAGACTACATTCCACCACACTCATCAAACTATATTTCACAAGATTCTTAGAAAAACAGAATAACGTTACTGTAACAGCTATGGCAATAGAGCAGTGATGGCGAACCTATGGCACAGGTGCCAGAGGCAGCACTCGGAGGCCTCTCTGTGGGCACATGTGCCATTGCCCCAGCCTTGCCTGCCCCACAACCCCCTCCTCTCCAGCAGCCCCCCTGGAGGAGAGTCGTCCCCAAATGTGGCCCACATAGAGCAATGCAGCCAAGGACATGGCAGCCAGGCAGCTTAGACAAGACTCTGCCCTCACATGCAGTTGATGCTGCAGGGCGTGGGCAGAGGGCGTGGCCGCCATAGAGCTGCTGGGCTGCCTGGGCAATCTGCGGCGGGCCCTGGAGGCGATGAGTGGTCCTATGGGCAGGCGGGGCAGGGGATGGGGGTGGAGCGGGGGTGGAGCAGGGGGGTGGAGCAGGGGCAGGGCCAGTTTTTGGGCACTCGGTCTCTAAAAGGTTCGCCATCACTGCAATAGAGTCTTGCAAATCTGAATATGCTTTCCCTTCCCTCACCTTGTGGGAACTAGAGAGAGCCCTATCTGAGATATATTATTTCAAGGTATTTTCCTGGCAAGGACTCAAGCCCCTCTCATCTGACTGTTGCCTTTATAATGGGTCTTTCTTTGGTCCTTCGAGGCTATTCCTGAAACTCTCTGTACAACTCTTCCACCCAACTCATGCTCCAAGTAAGTTCACTTGTCGGCCATGGAAACTCAGGGAATGGTTTTTGATCAGTTACTTTTTGTCAGCCCAACAGACCATGGAAAATGGTTGTTGCGGGAAAAGAGAAAAAAATGAAGTGCTACGCATGTGTCAGCCCTTTGAGTAGACCAAGCAAACATACTTCACAAGAATTCTGGAACTCTATAAGAATTACCGTATTTTCCAGCATATAAGATGACAGGGTGTATAAGACGATGCCCGACTTTTGAGAAGATTTTCATGGTTAGAAAGTTGTCTTAGACGCTGGAAAATACGGTAGTCTACATTAATATTGTGAAAGCCTGTTTGCATTTTTCCTTATCTCCCTGATATGCTCCAGAGAATCAAAGCAGAATACATTTGAGTTTCTTTCTATAGGTAGTCCTTGACTCATTTAAAACTGTTTGAAGTTACAACGGAACTGGAAAAAAATGGCTTATGACCATTTTTCACACTTATGATAGTTGCAGCATCCCCACTGATGTGCAGGTTCTGAGGTTTTGCTTGATAAAAAATACAAGAAACCAGAAGTTGCCTTCAAGCTTACGTGTTTATTCAGCTGAATAGAGACTGGGCTTCTGTACAAAAAGACCCAAGCCCTAAATATCAGAAAAAACCTTATTTTTATACCTACTTTGATTACATAAGCAATTCACCCAGCAAAGCTGACACGCATAAGATTAAGACTTCGCCCTTTAAGGCTGGCACACTGTAGATAAGAAAGCAGAAGTAGCTAGTATGTTCCCTTTTGGGTGTTTCCCAAGACACCATATGTTCACTCTTTGGTGGTTTGGGTGTTTTCCCCAAGATACCAGCTATTCTCGGGTGGGTTAGAATATTGGGTATTTCCTTTGCTGTCCTTTCATGACCCTGCATTCATAGGCCTGCAAGTGGCCAGAGAGAGAGGGGCCATCTGTACGTATTCACAATTGATACTGTCCCCTAAGTCCTGGTCATCCCCATGGTCTGTGATCATAAGTCGTGGACTATCTATAATGCTTTCTTCCTTTTTCTTATAACATACAATATATGGTAACTACCATCACCCAGTTTCTCCCAGATCATCTCTGTGGCTTTCCATGGAACCTTAAGCTTTTGAGAAAATGTGGGATATAAGCTTAAAAAATAAGCAAGCAGATGTTTTCCTCATCCCCTTCCCTGGCAGCACCTTCTAAAGCAGTGGTTCTCAGCCTTTTTAATGCCGTGACCCCCAACCGGTCGTAAGTCGAGGACTAAACCGGTTGTAAGGACTAAACCGGTCGTAAGTCAAGGACTACCCAACCGGTCATAAGTCGAGGACTTTCCCTGCCCGGGAGCGCCGCGCATGCATGGTGCCACCCCCTGCACCGGCCGAGGCATAGCTGGCAAGTGGCAGAGACGGAGCAGGCCGACCACCAGCTGGGCCACCAGCTGGCCCAGCCCAAGGGAGGTAAGGCACCCGCCGGAAAAGGGGAAAAAAATGACGGACAGCCTTGCTTGGCGACCCCCGTGAAATGGTCGATCGACCCCAAATGGGGTCACGACCCATAGGTTGAGAACCGCTACTCTAAAATTAGAAATCCCCTATTTCATATTGATCCAAGGCTCTTCTCCAATTATTTATTCAGCAAAAAAGAGATTTCTTGCACAGATATGTACTCGGCAAGAAAAAAACAGACAGAGGACGTGGCTCAACCTTTTGTTCAGCCCTCTCCAGTTTAATGAGTTTGACTTCACCTTCCATAACCCCCAGCCAGCATAGTCTTCACTAACAAGGCAAACATAAGATATGGAAAGCAATTGTGATTTTTGTAAAGAAGATAAACTCCAGAACAATAATCCCCTTCAGCCAGTTAAGATCAAAGAGTCATTTGAAATAACATATCTGAAATAAATCATCCAAGACTTTTGTAGCGTGCTAACTATTGTCTTGCCAGGAAGGAGGAAATTATAAATTTTGTATCTTTCCAGAGCTCCAAATGAAAAGTTATTCATTAATTTTATGGGAGGTGGAAAATGGAAGAAAAAAAAAATCAACGGATATCCCATGTTTTACTCACCCTATATCAGTCTGGTGGCCAGCAATATTTTATGACGAAGGCTAACCTGATTGTTTCTCTGCTGCATAACCTATGTTAATACTAAAACAGCTAAATTATGTCATCTCCAAATGTGGCTTTAGATCACTTTAAATCAGCTTTCCTCGGTCTAGTACACTCCAGATGTGGTGGGGCTGCATCTCCTGTTATTACCATATCCCATTAGCTGATTATCTTCATTACTGCTGCATTAGATCCTTAAAATGTAATGCTGATCCTTCATTCAGGTGCTTACTCTGCGTTCATGAAAAATCTGGACACTACCTGTTTACAGATAATCATCGACTTACAACAATTTGTTTAGTGACCATTTGAAATTATAGCAGCGCTGAAAAAAGTGACTTACGGCTGTTTTTCAAACTTATGACCATTGCAGCATCCCCATGGTCATGTGATTGAAATTCAGATACTTGGCAACTGGCACGTATTTATGACAATTGCAGTGTGCCCAGGGTATGTGTGTCAGGTGATCCCCTTTTGTGACATTCCGACAAACAAAGCCAATGGGGGAAGAAAGATTCACTTAAGAATCAAATTACTAAATTAACAATGGCAGTGATTTCACTTAACAAATGTGGCAAGAAAGGTCGTAAAATGGAGCAAAACTCCCTTAACGGCTGTCTTGCTTAGCAACAGAAATTTCGGTCTCAGTTGTGGTCGCAAGTTGAGGCCTACCTATATTATGTTTCCGAACATTTATTTCCTAAGGAAATAATGTAGGAGTTCCAAAGGAAGGAGAATAATTTAGACTTGCAGTTTTAACAAAGGTACTGTAGAATAACCAACTGTTTGGCAAATGCATTCAAGATTTAAGATTGGATCAGCATAATAGCACTAGAAAGACTCTTGCAAAAATGTCAATCCAAACATATATAAGGTAATGAGCAAAGGACATACAGTATACAGTTTATGAATTCTGTGACGTTACATCCATCTGCTCTTCCAGATCTGGACAAAATATCCAACCCTAGTATTTTTAAAATGATGTTTAACACTTTCATGGGATTCCAAACCTGGCTGGTATTTGCTAGGAAGGATCTCAACTCCTATAAAAGTATCCTTTGAAGGTATGGAATTTGGAAGCAGGAAATTGGCATGACAAGTTTCTAGAGTTCTGCAAAATGCAACAAGGTTTTCTCATGCCTGGTGCTGCTGAGAATATTTGTTTTTCCACAGTATGTT